GCCCCGCGCGCCCCCGACAGCCGGCCGGCCCGACACGGAGAGCGCGTGCGCGGCGGGAGGGCCCGTGGGGAGCGCGCGTGCGCATCGCGTCGCGGGCGGGGCTGGGCGGCCCCGCCCCGCCCAGCAACACCGACGGCTCGCTCCCATTGGCTCCGAGGACTCGGCGAGGTCGCTTCGAGCTTCTATTGGGAGAGGCAGGAGAACAGTCACTCCCGAGAGGCCCTGCGCCCGCGCCCGGATGCCCCGCGGTGTGACCGGGGGAGAAGCTGCGGTTGGGCAGCTCTTCGGTGCTGGGGTGTGGGTTGAGGCGGGGCCGCCCTCTCTCCCCGGTGCGTGCGGGGTCAGGGACCCTTCCCACCGCGTGGGTGTGCTGCCCTCCTGGGGTGCTGGGACAGCCCGCGCTCTGGCTTGCCTTTCTGCTGGCAAGGACCGGTTCCCACAGGCCTTTATATGTCGTAACTCATCTGTTTTTAAATTTTTTATTGTAACTGAGCGGGAACATGAGGTAGAATTCACGATAGGACTCTAATATCAGGCCGGGACTTTGGCCACCAGCTGAGAGACGAGCCAGTTAGGTTCTGCACTCTCCTGCACGGGGTGTCTCCCACCCGCTGGTTGCGGGGCGTGCCTGTCCGGCTGAGACGTTCATCTCTGAGTACGTGGTGGGCGAGAACCCACCCCAGGGGCCGTTTCTGTGAAGGTCGGCTTGAGGAGGCCAAGGACAGTGAGGCTAGTTCCCTTCTCTGGCCCGTTCTCACTCAGGAGTGCTCCTCCACATTCCCAGCACCCCGTGACATTAAGTTCTTGGGCTATACATTCGGCGAGGTCAATAAAGAGGTTTTTTCCCAGAGTTGAAAAGCTCAAGGTTTTACTCAATTTAGCCTTGAGTTGTCTGTATAGTTGGGGCCCTGGGACCTGCAGAGGGGAGGGCGGTTTTGTGGCGGTCTGGTTGATAAGCCATTTAACTGTCTCCTGGACTGCCTCTTTTTGGGCTTGATCTTGGACGCCTCCCCCATCGGAGTTACCGACGTGGGTTTGGCGGGTCCAACAGACGACCTGATTAGTCCTTTTTGACTCCCGGGCAATTGTGACCTGCTATTGATCGTGGAGGAATGAGGCAAGACCAGTAGGCTTTGTCTGTATAGGTACAGACCTGAGGAGTTCTACCCTGATAGCACTGGGCTGGCAT